TGTTGATCATATCTACTATATGATTCACGCTCGACCTTTCGGTCTCAGTGTTTCGAGGCCATATCTGCATATGCTAGGCTCGTCAAGTTTAACCCGAGTATTCTGCATGTGCAAAACTGGCTTGCACCCGTTGTATGTGAACATAGAGCTTATCACACCCGATCATCACATGGTATCTTAGCACGAAGAACTATCGCAATGGTGCATACTCAGGGAGAACACTTATACCTTGAAATTTAATGAGAGATCATCTTATAATGCTACCGCCGAACTAAGCAAAATAAGATGCATAAAGGATAAACATCATATGCAATCAATGTAAGTGATATGATATGTCCATCATCATCTTGTGACTTTGATCTCCATCTCCAAAGCACCGTCATGATCACCATCATCACCGGCTTGACACCTTGCATCGAAGCATCGTTGTCGTCTCGCCAACTATTGCTTCTACGACTATCGCTACCTCTTAGTGATAAAGTAAAGCAATTACATGGCGATTGTATTTCATACAATAAAGCGACAACCATATGGCTCCTGCCAGTTGCCGATAACTGTGTTACAAAACATGATCATATCATACAATAAAATTTAGCATCATGTCTTGACCATATCACATCACAACATGCCATGCAAAAACAAGTTAGACGTCCTCTACTTTGTTGTTGCAAGTTTTACATGGCTGCTGCGGGCTGAGCAAGAACCGTTCTTACCTACGCATCAAAAACCACAATGCGGTATAATGATTGTTTTTTGATCTTCAGAAAGAACCCTGTTCATTGAATCTGATTCAACTAAAGTTGAAGAAACTGACACCCACCAGCCACCTGTGTGCGAAGCACATCGGTAGAACCAGTCTCGCGTAAGCGTACGCGTAATGTCGGTCTGGGCCGCTTCATCCAACAATATTGCCAAATCAAGAATCAACTAGTGATGGCAAGCAATATGTATATACCCACGCCCACAACTCCTTTGTGTTCTACTCGTGCATATAACATCTACGCATAAACCTGGCTCGGATGCCACTGTTGGGGAATGCAGTGATTTCAAAAAAGATCCTACGCACACGCAAGATCATGGTGATGCATAGCAACGAGAGGGGAGAGTGTTTTCCACGTACCCTCGTAGACTGTAAGCGGAAGCGTTATGACAACGCGGTTGATGTAGTCGTACGTCTTCACGATCGACCGATCCTAGTACCGAAAGTACGACACCTCCGCGATCTGCACACGTTCAGCTCAGTGACGTCCCACGAACTCACGATCCAGCAGAGTGTCGAGGGAGAGCTTCGTCAGCACGACGGCGTGATGATGGTGATGATGATGCTACCGGAATAGTGCTTCGCCTAAGCACCGCTACGATATGACCGAGGTGGATTATGGTGGAGGGGGGCACCGCACACGGCTGGAAACAATCAACTTGTGTGTTCTAGGGTGCCCCCTGCCCCCGTATATAAAGGAGCAAGGGAGGAGGCCGGCCGGCCCTTAGGGCGTGCTAGGAGAGGAGGAGTCCTCCTAGTAGGAGTAGGACTCCGCCCCCCCCCCCTTCCCTAGTCCAATTCGGACCAGAGGGGGAGGGAGCGCGCGGCCTGCCCTAGCCGGCCCTCTCTCTCGCCACTAAGGCCCATGTGGCCCATTAGTTCTCCCGGGGGGTCCGGTAACCCTCCGGTACTCTAGTTTTCTCCGAAATCACCCGGAACACTTCCGGTGTCCGAATATAGCCGTCCAATATATCAATATTTATGTCTCGACCATTTCGAGACTCCTCGTCATGTCCGTGATCACATCCGGGACTCCGAACTACCTTCGGTACATCAAAACACATAAACTCATAATACCGATCGTCACCGAACGTTAAGCGTACGGACCCTACGGGTTCGAGAACTATGTAGACATGACCGAGACACGTCTCCGGTCAATAACCAATAGCGGAACCTAGATGTTCATATTGGCTCCCACATATTCTACGAAGATCTTTATCGGTCAAACCGCATAACGATATATGTTGTTCCCTTTGTCATCGATATGTTACTTGCCCGAGATTCGATCGTCGGTATCTCAATACCTAGTTCAATCTCGTTACCAGAAAGTCTCTTTACTCGTTCCGTAATGCTACATCCCGTAACTAACTCATTAGCTACATTGCTTGCAAGGCTTATAGTGATGTACATTATCGAGAGGGCCCAGAGATACCTCTCCGACAATCGGAGTGACAAATCCTAATCTCGATCTATGCCAACTCAACAAACACCATCGGAGACACCTCTAGAGCACCTTTATAATCACCCAGTTACGTTGTGATGTTTGGTAGCACACAAAGTGTTCCTCCGGTATTCGGGAGTTGCATGATCTCATAGTCATAGGAACATGTATAAGTTATGGAGCAAGCAATATCAACAAACTAAACGATCATCGTGCTAAGCTAACGTATGGGTCAAGTCAATCACATCATTCTCTAATGATGTGATCCCGTTAATCAAATGTCAACTCATGTCTATGGTTAGGAAACATAACCATCATTGATTCAACGAGCTAGTTAAGTAGAGGCAAACTAGTGACATTCTGTTTGTCTATGTATTCACACATGTACTAAGTTTTCGGTTAATACAATTCTAGCATGAATAATAAGCATTTATCATGATATAAGAAAATATAAATAACAACTTTATTATTGCCTCTAGGGCATATTTCCTTCAGCTCCTCCAAGTCTCCTCCCTCCCCTATGCCTATATATAGTGGAGGGGGCAGACTCTCTATTCGCACAATTCCAGGCGCAAGGGTTGCCCCCTCTCTACCTTGTTTTCCACCGAAAAATTGTTCCGTATGGCATTAGGCTACTCCACCCCTTCTAGGTCTCCAACGCCACTAAGTTCTAGATGGTGAAGCGTTGTCGGATCGCCGACTACATACACGTGGATACCTACATCAAGAAATTCTCAAGGTAGGAAGGTTGTAAATCCTAACCATGGGAATCTGCATCAACGATCTTCACCAACTCCTCTTCGCTGCAACTCTAGTCAGTAAAGATCCAATCTAATCCTCATTTGCACCTTCATAATGTTCTTGGGTTCGATTCGTAGGACAATTTTTTTTCTACTACGTTTTCCAACAATGCTTTCGTCATAGATCATGCCACATCGGATCCCACATGGCATTCACATCATCCCACACACTACATGGATAACACTAGGTCTAATCTCACATGGTGTAGGCCCATGGGTTAGACAAAAAAATGACCATAGCGAACAAAGTGTAACTCAGTTTGGCGCGTTCCTTGTGGTGGAACCTACTCATCCGTCTTTAAATCCTAGACTAGGTATGTGTGTTCGCATTTTTCTGGATTTGTTTCATAGTTTAAGGGTTTCGTTCTTTCAATGATAAGTATTGCAGGAACGAGTGTGTGTGCATGTGTGTGACCTTTTTTGACATTGTGAACATCCATGATTCACACTGTATTTCACAAAAAAGATGGCGATAGATATCTATTTCGAAAATGTTAGGAATACCACGCTATGGTCCATTAGTGGAAAGCTCAACTTTCGACGATCCATTTTTATCATAAAACGAACATAGATGAAGTACAATGACAATCATGTGATAAAATATGACATTGCATGTTAGCATATATTACTGGTGGTGATCTTGTAGTGATTTGCAACGGTGGTGCTAGCAAAGCAAAGTGATACCAGTTCGCACGCAATCGCGCATATTTTCAAGATGACAACCATAGAGCTAATCCTCGTGTTATTATATGTTCATTGTTTCTTGAATATTAAAGCTACGTGAGGATTGAAGCAAGGAATAGCGACAGATAAAGTTGCAATTAAAAAGGTGATCCGTAACCACCCCATTGATTATATTTTTAAATTCATCATCTTCTTTCAACTAGGGTTATCTCTGGGGAAGAGGAAAGACGGGCCAGTGCCCGGAGTGGTGCTTACCAAGTTTAAGGCGATCCACTCCTTCAATAGACACCGGCTTTGTGCGTGCGTTCATACAGGTGAATGTGCGTATGTATGAACGTTTGCATTTGTACTATACTAAAAAACGCCAGCATTAGCTGCTTCTCTGTTGGTCCTCTTGGCCCATCTTTGTGTGCGGCTATCTTAGTATTTTTAGTTGGTCGTCCCGACCGGGCAAGATGTTTTGGCTCCTGGGTGCATTTGCACCGGGATGAATGGTAAAATAAAAAATAGTTAAAAATAAAATTCTGAAGAAAAAAACAGATGTTTGCGTTAGTGTTGCAAGCATGTTTGACAATTTTCATGTGAAACGGAGCAGCAGTGTTTCGTTGACGAAAAAACTAATTTGGGTGTGACATTTTGGGGTAACAATTGATGTTCAATTTGTTTGTTTGTTTGTTTGGTTTTTTGCACAAGCCAAAATGCTTAACCTTTTTGCCTAAAAAATTTCAGGTAGCATTTGAATGTGACAAAGAACACATAAAAAAATTGGCATTCCAAAAAATCATTTTACACGGGCAGGAGCACGTGCTTTCGGGAGCTGAATTGCATTTCCGGTCCCGACCCTGTAATTTTCGTTTTCATGGCTCTTTTGTTTGTTGTACCTTGGTGCAAGACTTTGTTCACTTCGCCCTTTTGTTCGAGCCTTATTAACTTGCAGGGACGTGATACGGCGCGACGATCTGGGTGTGACACACCTCAGCCACAGGTCACCGTGAGCATGTTTACGATCACGGAACGTGCCGCCGATGGTACCGGTGTAACTCACTCGTGGTCAAAAACTAAAGAGCTGACATTTGTCACATCTACTTGGATGTCGTTAATTTTAAGTTGGATGCTGCTTGTGCCTTCGCTCTAAGTAACATCGCCAACTGTAGTGAGCTCCATATCTTGAGTTTTGTAATACAGTTGTGAAGCAAAATCTTGAAGAATGCAAAGGCACGCTACAAAGAACGGGGGCGATAAAACAACTACTAGGAGCTAACGATTTACAGCAGCTCAGAAACCCCACGATCCGTAAACCCCAGTAGTACAGAGGATGGAGACAAAACGTCAATGCAGCTTCGCGAAGAGGATCTCAAACGAGCCGATGCCATTTGAGCCCCAAAGTCCGTACCTAGCGACGTCACCATGTGAAAGGTGGGCGCGCCAAATCTGATCCACCAATCACCATTAGCGATCTACTCCCTTCGTTCGGAATTACTTGTCTCGAATATGGATGTATCTAGAATTAAAATACATCCAGATACATCCATTTCTACGACAAGTAATTTCGAACGAAGGGAGTAGCATCATCGCTGCGCATGCAGCAGCAGATTATTATACGGCAGGGCTCAAGAGTCAAGGCTCCGCTGCGTGCGTCTACAAGATTAGACTACTCTTTCTAGTGCCATCTACATTGATCAGCCGCCAAAGAACTGATTGGACTCCAAACAGGAGATCGCACGGCACGAGATCCTCGTGGCATCTCGTCCAGGTTACTACTGCTCCTTCGGGGAACCCACGAGACCCTCGTGGTCGTGGCATCTCGTCCACGTTGGTGCTCCTTCCGGAAACCAGATTCTGGTTTGGCCGGCATATTTCGGCGCCAACGAAAGCCTCCAGGCCAGTGCAGGGATTCTATATACACGCAAAAATGGCGGTCATCACCGGTGTCGTCACGTGTCCGAATCGCTCGACCCCAACCACCAACTCGGATGTGGCCATGTCGGATATTCCAAGATGCCCACGGCGTTTGCTGCCCGTTGTCTGATCCCGCGAGAAACTCCATCGGAGTTGCTATAAACGGAGGTCAATCGTCCTCCTCATGATTGCAGGAGGATCAGGCTTTGTCACTATCAGAAACTCAGAATGCTGAAAGCTACTACCTCTCCTCCACATGCCTTGAGGCCGTCCCGTGCCTGCTACAGGCCGGCTTTCTCTCTCAGTGCAAGAACTTCGTCCTCGCCTCTAACCTCCAACCCAAAGGTCGACCCTCCCTCCATCTCCTGAACATTTCCCGGTTTCTGTCGTCGGAGAAACCGGTTTGTTTCTTGTGAAATTTCTGTCTGATGCTGTTCTTCCTGCCCTCTTGCCTCAGAAATCTTTGATCCAGGAGCTACAAAGGCAGCTCTCTTCCAGGATCAACGATGCCTCACTGGTGCTGAAGAATGCGCCGCAGAGGCTTCTGGATGCAATAGTTGACTCAACCTTCAAGTTTACTCATCAAGCTCTGCTCCCATCTGAGGTACTCCAGTCCAGGAAACTCGATTGCAATTTCCAGTGTAAAAATTCTGGCAATGACAACCCAGAAGCTCAGCCGTGCTTCCTTTCTCGCAAAATTAACATTGCCTGTGGCATGTTTGCAGAGCAACTTTGCACCGGTCGATGAGATCGGTGGATCCGTAGAGATACTCCAGATTGAAGGAGAGATACCCAAAGATTTCCCCGAGGGTGTATACATCAGAAATGGTGATCATCTGCATCTTTTCTGGTTGCTGTGGTGTAAGTAAGTGCAGTAGGAATCGCAAACAAGAAGCTAACTGTCGGCTAAATTATGACAGGTTCCAATCCTCTCTTTGGCGCCCTCCATTCGACGGTCTCCGTCTTTGGGGAGTCCAGTGAGATATGGGTTGAGGGCGAGGGCATGCTCCATGCCCTGTACTTCACCAAGACCGGTTCAGCTTCTTCTTGGTCAGTCTCCTACGACAATCGCTACGTGCAATCCGAAACATTGAAGATCGAACAAGGCCGCCGGAAACCATGCTTCCTCCCTGCTATCGAGGGTGACTCGGCAGCCATCATCGTCGCCTACATTCTCAACTATGTAACTAACACTTGCAAATCCAAATTTTATATATAAGTTGTTTACTAGAAATCCTAACCTGAAGTGTGAGTAAACATGCAATGCAGCTGAGGTTTGGCAAGGTGAACAAGAACATCACCAACACCAATGTGTTTGAACATGCCGGTAGGGTGTACGCTGTCGCAGAAAGCCATCAGCCCCAGGAAATCTGCATACAAAATCTTGAAACAGGCAATACCTGGGACATTGGTGGGGAGTGGGATCGGCCCTTCACAGCTCACCCAAAGGTATGGGTGACCAGCAGCTCTATCCTTCATAAACCCCAAGGATAACAAGAACAGTAAATCAAGCAAGTATAGACCACAAGAACAGAACTACTACTACCTCTGTAGCTAAATATAAGACATTCTTGCAGTTCAATTTGAACTGCAAAAACGTCTTATATTTAGTTACAGAGGTAGTACTATAGAAGGTACAAATACTGCAGTCACATAGTAACTTGATCTTGAATATCAATCAATAAAGAATGACATATCGATACATCTGCGAGAGAAGAAGATTATTTAATTTTATTGATACATCTGCGAGAGAACAAGATTATTTAATTTTATTGATACATCTGCCAGAGAACAGAATTAACATCCTTGTTTCAGTTACATCCGTGTCCTCGATCTGTTGGCTCAAAAAATAAGTGAACAGTACAACCCAGGTGTGAAAAGAACTGAGATGCGGCACATATGATGGAAGCTTACTCCAGATTTGATCTGGAAAAAGGAGGAAAAGCAGCCACATCGGATTTATCTATCATCTATGTTACATGCCTTGCTTATATAACCCTGCGTTTTGCAAGATGAGTAGTCCGTACCAATGTGCTATTTAACTGCAAAAATAACAGAAGTCCAGGGTTTATCAGAGGCAAATATATAAATATATAGTTAAAAAAGAGGAGGTACTCTATTTTACACGGTCATATATGTTGCAGATAATAATGAATAACTGAAAAAAAAAGACCACACTGCATACATAAGTATGATTACAAGATGTTCCCAAATACATGCACATGTTGTTATCCTTGTTCAGTCATCTGTTTGATTTAAGGCACTTCATTCAAATGACTGTAGGTAGCTCCTGGATCAGGAGAACTTGTCATCTTTGGCTCAGATGCAAAGAAGCCTTTCCTAGTTGTTGGTGTTGTCTCAGGTAATTTATAATATGTTGCACTTTTTTAGAATTTTACACCATGTTCATGTGCCAAGGTTGAAATCAAGTTATAACCACAACTCGAGTTTATTTGACTGCAGATGATGGAACCAAACTAAAACATAAAGTTGACCTCAAGCTGAACAGATCTACACTTTGTCACGACATAGGAGTTACTCTGAAGTATGTGGATTTAAGAAATACCATTTGCTCCCAGCAATTTCTTGATTACAGTGCATACTATTTATGAATTTTTAACTTGATTGGTAATACTAGAATATCTCAGAGTAGGTACTTTATGGTAAACAATGATAGCAATTCACAGATATTATTTCTCTTGATGTAGGTACAACATAATCATAGATATACCACTTACTATTGACATTGGTAGACTCACTACAGGCGGTCAGTAAGTACTTCATATAAACTTATCCAACAATAAGCAGCTATATTATTTTGTAAAATCAAAATCACATATTACCCGTTGCATAGGCTGATTGAATTTGAGAAGGAAGGTTATGCAAGAATTGGGATTATGCCCCGCTATGGTGACGCAGAGTCAGTTATGTGGTTCGATGTTGAACCATTCTGCATGTTCCATCTTATCAACTGCTTCGAAGAAGGTGATGAGGTACATAGTATTCTCTTGTTAGCTTTTTTCATATATTTGTAAATAAATACTGAAATTTATTGAAAAAATATGTGTTCCATCCCTTCAAGTCGCTCGCAACTACCTGCACTACAAATTTCATCTTTTTCTGGTGGCCTAGGTTGTTGTTCAAGGCCTCCGTTCGGCAGACTCCGTCATACCAGGGCCAAGATTAAACAAACAAGACATACTCCCTGAAAGATCCGAGCTTAAAAAAGATGGCAAGGCCATGAAACAAGGAATTAATGAGAAATTATTCTCTCGCTTGTTTGAATGGAGATTAAACCTGAGAACGAAGACTGTTTCAGGGGAATATTTGACTGGCACCGAGTGCTCCTTGGAATTCCCAATGATCAATAACCACTACACAGGCGTGCGTCATAGTTATGGCTACGCACAAATAGTGGATTCTTTAACAAGATCTGCTGGCAGTAGTGAAAAAGGTATTGCTAAAATCAAACAACACTGTCTATATTACGAGCATGTACACCGGGTGCCTACTTCTATTTCCGCGTTTACAGTATTATGTATCACAGCTTGACTCAGTTTTTCGTTATATCTTACAGTACTCCCAAAGTATGGGGGCTTTGCAAAACTATGCCTTGAGGAGAGAGAGGATACAGAGGTATGTATAAATCAGCTTCGTGCCTCAGTTCAGCTACTATTTAACCAAGATTTCCTCACTCAAATTCAAGCTGTACACCAGACATCGGCAGAAGATCTAATAAAGATGGAAATTCATCGGCTTAGTGAAGATGAGTTCTGCTCTGGAGCATCATTTGTTCAAAGAGTTGGTGGCTCACATGAAGATGATGGATGGATAATTTCTTTTGTACATAATGAAAGAACAAATACGTCACAGGCAAGTTTTCATTGTAACACATTACATACACACACCCCAATTTTCATATGAAACACAAGTCCAATTTTGAAGCTTTATGCCTTATGTTGCAGGTGCACATTATTGATACCCAAAAATTTGAAGGAGCTCCTGTTGCAAAAATAACATTGCCACAAAGAGTGCCCTATGGCTTTCATGGAACTTTTGTCCATAACAACATACATGGGCACGTGAATACCAGATCAGAAAAAAAACTGGACAGCTTAAAGTTCATATATTGAATTGGGTGTTTGTAAGTAGAAATTTTTGTATCCAGTGAACTGTACAAAATTTTAACCTGTATGAGTATATTCGTAGGTTATCTCATTCATTGCTATGTAGGTTATCTTGTACAAGTGTATCTCGAATCACAAAGAAGCCGTGTTCAGCTAACATATGGCTGCCGTTCTAGCTGTAATCAGTTCATTATACAAAAATGTTGTATTGCAAAAACATTCAATACACCACAGTATCTTGAAAAAGAATGAGCTAAGGTATATAATTCTAATGCAACCGGACTTGAAGTACAATTAGAAGAGAATACTCAACATCATCAGAACAGATCATGGTCTCTGATGCCAAGTTCGAATGACCCCCAGGAGCTTAGGGAGAAGTCGTTTGTTGACGCGTGATCGTCGATACCGGGGATTAAGGGCAAACCCCTTTTTTGTTCAGCTAGGGGCTAAAACACTTCAGTAAACTTCACGTCAAGACACGTTTTTTTTTACCCAGGTTCAGGCCACCGCGAGGTGTATTACCTTACGTCCTGCTCTAGCTCTTGATGAGCTTATATGAGTGGTTAGAAGCTACTGCTAGGGGCAGCTCTAGTGCTCGGGATAGTTCTACTGTTCTTCTCCTAGCTTTGGTCTTCTGTTAAGTTCGTACAGAGAGATCACCTAACCAAGAACTGGTCCTTTGATTTGGCCACGGTCGTCCCTTATATAGGCCTGGGGGGTACCACAATGGCCTTTACAATTAAGTTGATACGTTGAACCTTCGGGGGTACAAACTGCACGCCCCATGCGGGCCCGCCAGCCGGTTGTGGCGTAGTGGACGACAGGCCAAGTCGGTTCCTCAAGAAACGCATCCATCCTGTCATCTACAGCACACTGGGGCCCATAAGGCAGTGGCACAAGGCTAATGTAGATACATCACCCGTGGTGGTGCCAAAGTCAAAAAGGTGGGGCACCTGTCACATCTCTGATAAGCGTCAGGTGCCGTCTTGGGACAAGACAAACCGTCATACTGTAGACTCATGATGCGTATCTACGAAGCGTAGATCACCACCGTAGGAATGCAGGCCTGGATTTAATTCGTCGGTCGGCCCTTCCAACTCTAAGAGAGTAGAGTTGCGCAGGCCTTACATTAAATGCCTTGCCAGCCGGTAGACCCCCAGGAGGGCCCACCAGGATCAGAGCTGCTGCTCGGGGGAGTTGAAGGTGCTCGGGGGCAGCCCCGCGTACTTCCCCTGGCTCCTTATGTTTGGCTGTCATTGCTGAAATCATCATTCTCGGGGGCGACACCTTGCCCAAGTTGGTCGGGGAACCATGCTGGGGGGAGTCCAGAGTACCGGTCCTTGGTGCTTTTACTCCTTGGCCTTGACGTTGTCGATGATGCGACTTGACAATGGTGCACTGATGGATCTTTGTGGAGCCAAGCTCGGCCCATTACAGCAGGCCCGGGGTACCTATCCCCCGTCATGCTGACATAAGCCCTCGGCCCTGCCACCTGGTGATGGTCGAGAGAGCCTTTCTTGAAAGGTTCTGACAGGGACCGGCTCCCGACGGGAGGCCAATTGCGATAAATGGTCGGCGAGCTCGTTGTCCCGACACGGCACGTGTTGTAGCTGCAAGCCATCGAAGTGCCGCTCCAACTTCCTGACCTGAGCCAGTTATGCTGCCATTTGTGGGTCCAAGCATTGATGGTCCTTCGACACTTGATTGATGACGAGTTGGGAGTCACCCTTGATGAGTAGGCATCGAATTCCGAGGGAGGCTGAGGCACGGAGGCCTGCGAGCAGCCCCTCGTATCCGCCCATGTTGTTCGTGGCACCTTTGAAAAGGAGCTGCACAACGTACTGCAGTTGTTTGTCCGTCGGAGAGGTGAGAACCACTCCAGCCCCCGGGCCCTGGAGCTTGAAGGATCCGTCGAAGTGCATCATCCAGTGTACGGGAAGACCGATGATTCGGGAGTTAAGGACACCTCCTCCTTGTCTTCGGGCACCGGTGTCATTTTTTGTGATAAAGTCGACTAGGGCGCGACTTGATGGCGTGGGAGCTGACAAGCAGAGATCAAACTCCCCAAGCTTGATCGCCCACTTCACAACTTCATGCCGCGACCAATGACCTCATGATTGTGAAGGATGCGATCAAGCAAAAAGGAACTAACGATGGACACCTTGTGGGCTTGGAAGTAGTGTTAGCTTCCTTCATGCGACCAAGACTGCATAGAGTAGCTTCTGGACCTGCGGGCACCATGATTTGGCATCGCGTAGGACTTCATTGATTAAGTAGATTGGTCATTGTACGAGACGTCCTTGAATCGGGGGAGCCCGCCCAGGCTCCTCGACCAGCTCGAGGCCAAACGGGAGCCTGGGCTTGCCTGCCAGCTCGGGGCTGGGCGGGAGCTCGGGCTCAGTTGCCAACTCGGGGTCGGCCATCTTCTCGGAAGGTGCTGGGAGCTTGGACCCAGCAGCTTGATTTGACGCATGAGCGGCCGGGGGTTCGGGCCTGAGCTCAGGCTCCGACATTTCCTCCCGTTTCGCCACCAAGACGATGCTCACGACTTGGGGATTGACCATGATATATATAGCAGCAATGGCTCTTCGGGTCTTGTTGCCACCAGGATCGGCGGAGAGGTGAGGGACTGCTTGATGCCTTGGGAGTGCTTGTTCGGCCTCCAAGGTCCACTTGAATGGACCCGACTTCTTGAGGAGCTTGAATAAGGGGAGGCCTCGCTCCCCGAGCTTGGAGATGAATCTCCCCAAGGCTGCCATGCAGCCTGAGAGGCGTGGCATGCCCTTGAGGTGCGTCGGTGGGCGACTGGGCGCATCTGGCTAATGGTGTTGATCTTCTCAGATATGGCTTCTATGCCCTTGCTCGAGACGAGGAAGCCCAGGAGCTTCCTCGAAGGCACGCACCACAAAAACATAATTCTCGGGGTTAAGCTTCATGCACATGCAACAGAGGTTGTCAAAGGTTTCTGCAAGATTGCCGAGGAGTGCGGCTTGATCTTTGGTATTCACGAAGAGGTTGTCGATGTTGCGACCTATCTGGCACTCCAGTGCGATGAGCATGGCCGTTGATATGGGGGCCCGGTGTTTTTCAAGCCAAAAGGCATGCAGATGTAACAAAACATTCCAACCGGGGTGATGAATGTTGTTTTTCCTCATCCTCTTTAGCCATGTGAATCTGGTGATAACCAGAATATCCATCCAGGAAGCACAAGAGATCACATCCCGCCGTGGAATCCACGACCTGATCTATGCCGGGCAGAGGAATCCTTGGGACATGCTTTGTTAAGGTCAGTGAAGTCGACGCACATCCTTAGCTTGTCATTAGCCTTCGGGACAACGACGGGGTTGGCGAGCCACTCAGGGTGGATCACCTTGAACTGAGCTTTTTTTAGTCTATGCACCTCGGCTCAAATGAAATCTTAGTGCTCGGGTGCTTGACGGAGGTCGAGTTTGGCGATGTCGAAAATGATGCTTTCCTTCTGGTGGTGTCTCTGGCACCGAAGGCGACCATCAAGGACACCTGCCCGAGCGGCACTGTAAACGCCTTCATTGGTCGCAGGCACCATAGGGGCACTTGCATCTTATCGAAGACGTTGAGGGAAAGATGTTGAGGCCCGCGCCTCTGTCCACCAGCATGTTTGTCAGGGAAACCACCGACAAGACCTTGGGGTGGTGTTTGTGGCTGAACATGATCGGGGTGTCCGACCACTTGAGTGGTCAGGAAGCGCCGATGCTTGGGAGCACTGCGTTCACTTCCTGCACTAGCAGCTTGAGCTGGCAGCGTGAAGTGGGTGTGGAAGCATCCCCACAGATGCATGCCACGGTCTTTCACTCCTGAGAGCCTGCTGTCTCGGTCACGGTGGGTAGCACGCTCGTCCCAACAGTGTCACCTGTTGCGTGCACCAAGATGTCCTTTGCGGCATGCTTGGTGTCAGTTGTCAACGGGGGCTCGAACCTCCCACCCATTCGTGAGGCCATGCTCGTCAAAGAGGGATGCGGGACATCACTCCCTAGTGCCTTCTTTGGGGCATTTGCCTTCCTCTTGTGGTCAAGGACACCATGGAGATCATCAGCAGGCATGAAAGCGGTGATGGTGAGATGGGACGCAAAACAATGCTTCTTTGCATTGCCTCGCGATGGACTTGGCAGACGCAGGTGCTTCTAACCGTCGACTGGCGGCGGGCGATGTCCACCAACCCCGCAATCTCCCAAAGTCAAGGGCCCATGGGAAATTCATCCTCCACCAGAACAGGAGGGCGTTGAGGAACTCAGACAGTCCACAGCACGGCCTCCTGGACTGTTCCCTTGGAAACCGCTCGGCAGCATGTCGACCTCGGACGGCGCAGTGCCCCTCGAATGGAGCTCATTAGCTGCACCAGTGTGGTCATCAATGCCGTGAGGATCCGCGCGCGCCGATGACGAACAATGTCACTGTCGTCGCAACCACGATTCGTGCAAGGGCATGGCTGAGGCAACTGGTTCGAAGAAAACTGAAGCCTTAGCCTCCTACCTGGCGTGCCATATGTTGACTTGTGATCGTCGATATCGAGGATTAAGGCTAGACCCCTTGTTTGTTTCTTACCCGGGAGGTTCCGGCCACCGCAAGATGTAATACCCTATGTCCTGCTCTAGCTCTTGATCAGCTTATATGAGTGGTCACAAGCTACTGCTCGGGGCACTTCTAGTGCTCGGGATAGTTCTTCTGTTCTTCTCCTAGCTCTGGTCTTCTGTTAAGTTTGTAGAGAGAGATCACCTAACAAGAGTCGATCATTTGCTATGGCCTCGGTTCTCCCCTTATATAGGCATGGGGTACCACAATGGCCTTTACAATTAAGTTGATACGTTGAACCTTTGGGGTTACAAATGGCACGCCCCGAATGGGCCCATCAAACGGTTGTGGCTTAGTGGACGACAAGCCGAGTCGGTTCCTCGAGAAATGCGTCCATCCTGCCATCGACAACTCAATTGGGCCCATACGGCAATGCACAAGGCTGACGTAGGAACGCCTCCGTGGTGGTGCCAACGTCAAAAAGGTGGGGCGCCTGTCACATCTCTGATAAGCGTCAAGCGCTATCGCCTTGGGAGGAGACGAACCGTCGTACTGTAGACTCATGATGAGTATCTACGAAGCGTAGATCGTCGTAGATATGTAGGCCTGGATTTAGTGTGTCGATCGGGCCTTGGCACTCTAAGAGAGTTGCGCAGGCCTTGCATTAAATGTGTTGCCATCAGGTAGACCCCCAAGAGGGCCCACGAGGAGCACGGTTCTACTCGGGGGCGGGCCCCACGCACTTCTCCTGACTCCTTATGTTTGGCTGCCATTGCTAAAATCAACATGCTGGGGGCGACGCCTTGCCCAAGCTGGTCGGGGAACCATGCTCGGGGGAGTCCTGAGTACTGGTCCTTAGTGCTTTTTCTACTAGGCCTTGACGTTGTCAATGATGTGACTTGACAATGGTGTACTGCTGGATCTTTGTGGCCTCGAGCTCGGCCCATTACAGCGGGCCCGGGGTACCCTGTTGCCATGATGCTAACACCGTTGCAAGAAGATCTTCAAGGC